GAGCTCCATTTGCTTTTGCCAGTTTTCGTGATTGTCCCAGGCCTGCAATGGTATCGTGCTTTAGCCGTTCTGTATGGGATCCTGTTTTTGTATGTAAGGAAAGCTACTTTTAGTCAACACGCTGACGCCCCGCCAGTGCCTCGTAGCAGCCCATTGGGAGCGGACTCGTCCGCCGTTCCTGCTGCCGCCAGATGTCTCCACTGGGCGATGGTTGGGCTGACCGCAGATGTCACCCTGTCACAACTGACTGTCGTCCCTGGCCACATAACCAGTTGATAGCAGATGGCCATTCTGTCCCAGCTGTGACGCCCCAACCCATTATCTCGGATTGCAGGTAGCCACCCTCTCTCAGCTGAGCTGATCCTCTGACCCTGTGACTCGTGCCGCAGGTGACCACCCTCTCCCACCTGAGCTGACCCTCTGACCCCGTGACTCGTGACCACAGGTGACCACCCTCTCCCACCTGAGCTGACCCTCTGACCCCGTGACTCGTGACCACAGGTGACCACCCTCTCCCACCTGAGCTGATCCTCTGACCCCGTGACTCGTGACCACAGGTGACCACCCTTTCCCACCTGAGCTGACCCTCTGACCCCCGTGACTCGTGACCACAGGTGACCACCCTCTCCCACCTGAGCTGACCCTCTGACCCCGTCTGACCCCCTACGACTCCCGACCTCAGGTGGGCACGCTATCCCAGCTGCTGGAGGGCTATGAGGAAGAGGATCCGGAGTTGGCGCGCCGCGCCCTCGGCTCGTCGTTCATCAAACACATGGACATCGACTACGCCAAGCTGGCCGCCAGCCTGAAGCTGCCCCGAAGTCACGGTAGGGTTCCCAGATGGCTTTCTGACTGGAATATTGCGGCGATGGACGCGTCCATGGAGCTGCGTATTTATTTAAGGTGGTCTGGCCTTTCCCGGCGTTTCCTTCACCCATCGCGTCCTTTGCCTGTCCTATATATTTGCTTGCACCTGACACGTCGTCCTCATGCTAAAATGGTGTCACACTGCAAAGGGCGAGAAGCAACCGTTGGGCCGGGGGTAGACGCCCTCCCCTCCGCCCCACTCTCTGAAGATTTAGCATTGTCTGTCTGAATGTGACTGGGCAGGAATAACCAAAGATGGCTGTACTGCCCCCCCCCCCCACCCCCCCACCCCCCCCACCCCCCCACCCCCCACCCCCCACCCCTACCCCCCCACCCCCACCCCCACCCCCTCCCCCACACGCACGCACGCACGCACGCACGCACGCACGCACGCACGCACGCACGCACGCACGCACACACGCACACCACACCTGGAGAACTTCCGTTACCTCTGTTTTGCCGCCATGACTGCCAAAGGGCGCATTCAGAACGGCATTGTATCGTCCGAAAACGCCACGTTTTGCCCGACTTTGGCCATCTGGGGGAGGGCGGAACAGGGCAATGACTTGGTTGCCGGGTTGTGCCTCTGATGCCCGCGACGTTGTTACGTTTGTCCTCAGGCAAACCCGCAGGAGAAGTCACCGACGGCGGAGGCGCAGTCGACAGATGCTCTGGCGGCCAACTTCCAACAGAGCGTCTCCGTGTCGCAGGTGAGGTGGCGCTGCGGCTCCGACGCCGTCGCTGGACTCCGGCGCGGTCGCTGGACTCCGGCGCTGTCGCCGGACTCCGGCGCTGTCGCTGGACTCCGGCGCTGTTGCTAGACTCCGGCGCCGTCGCTGGACTCCCGCGCTGTCGCCGGACTCCCGCGCTGTCGCTGGACTCCCGCGCTGTCGCTGGACTCCGGCGCTGTTGCTAGACTCCGGCGCCGTCGCTGAACTCCGGCGCTGTCGCTGGACTCCGGCACTGTCGCTGGACTCCGGCGCCGTCGCTGGACTCCGGCGCCGTCGCTTGACTCCGGCGCCGTCGCTTGACTCCGGCACTGTCGCTGGACTCCGGCGCCGTCGCTGGACTCCGGCGCTGTCGCTGGACTCCGGCGCTGCCTTTGGACTCCGGCGCTGTGGCTGGACTCCGGCACTGTCGCCGGACTCCGGCACTGTCGCTGGACTCCGGCACTGTCGCTGGACTCCGGCGCTGTCGCTGTGTCGGACTGCAAATCAGCTGGGCCGCGTTCCTCATTGGCAAAGTACCTACTTGAGTTGCTACTAATGATGTCGGAAGTACTTACATCATACATAAGCGACTAACCTCCAAACCGCATGAGATGTTGTGACGCATCTACCTCTGACGTCATAGGTTGCAACGTGTGGGCAGCCGTTGGTAATGGGGAACGCGGCCCTGGTGTTTGCTTAGACGCTTAGACAGCCCAGACGATCTCCAGCCACCTGCCATTGCCCGCGGAGAGCGCGTTTCCTACGGCCGGCTGTGGACCAGACCGGCCGGCCGACGGCACGCGTTGTGCGCCACACGACGAGCTGTGCGCCGCTGTGCCTGTGTCTGCTCCTCGCGGGCCTGTGTCTGCTCCTCTGCTCCCAGTCACCTCTCTCTTTCAGAGCACGTTATTTCAGGCAAGGGGGATCGCAGTTGTTGGAAACGAAATAGCTGGCAGTTATCGGGCCTCAGCGGTGTCACACATCGTCCGCTGATGGGCAGGTGGGCACTTGTGCGGCCGCGTGAGCCAGAGCTCGTTACGCTGGTCGCAGCTGTGTCGGCCCGACCTGACGCCTCCCCCCGCCCGTACCCGTCTGCCCACAGGGAGCGACGGGTGCCGCCGCGGACGTCGTTCACCACGACGACGAAGATGATGAGTACGCCGGCGGACTGTGCTAGGTCCGCGGCTACGGACAGAGCCGGACGGGGCGCGGTGCGGTTGCCGGTGTTGCGGCGGCTACGGTCAATGTTGCAGTGGTTGCGCTCGCTTCACGCCGCTGGGCTGGTCCTCGTTGCCGTATGGGTTGACGACGGCTGCCACGGCCGCTGAGCAGTCTCTGTGTGACATCGGGCGGTCGCCGCGGCCCCGGGCGGGTCCGCGGCCGACACCACGGCCGCGGGGGTCAGCGCCACTTGATCCGAGCACGCGCGCGCCGCCAGCTGGTGGGGCGCGCCGAGCCGTCATGGCGCGGAGCCGCCGCCCGGCCGACGTAGGCTGCCCTCGCGCCACCGCCGCCGCTGCTGCCTGCCAGACCGTGGCCCAGGTAGCTGGGCGACACCGGCCCGCATGACTGGGCCCCTGGGCGCGTCGAGCTCGTGATGGGCGCGCTTGTTGGGTTAGGCTTGGCTCTCAGGAGGCCGATAGATACTGAAGGTTTTTCAAGTCTATCTCGAGAAACGTTTAGACGGTCTATTAACGCATTCGGTACTGACCGGCGTATCATCAAGTTCGATGTTTGGGATTGCCAGGTCCCAAACAAAATGTAAATACCTTTGTTGGCCAAGCTGGAGTGCGTTAAGCGTTGATCAGTGATAGCATGTGTCCCGCCAAACTGGTCGGAGTCGCGCCTCCTACATTAGACGCCGGTGTGTGCGCCGCTTGTCTGTGATGACCAGCTCTCGCTGGCAGATTCCGCTTGATTCAGTGACAGCTTTCGACGGTCGGGTGCGTGCGTCTGTTGGTCCCAGCAGTGGCGGACGGGCGGCAAGCACCCATTGAGCTTGTTAGCGTTTCTCCCGTCGCGGTGTCGTTCAGTTGAACCGTCCGCCCTCGCGACGCAGTTAGAAGAGCCTGCGAAGGCAGTGACCGCCACGAAGGCGGCCGTGAAAGACACGCTATTTCTGCCTTGTGAGACTCCGAAGCGGATTTCTGTGCTCCCTAGTGCGCTCTGTGCGAGTTGACTAGCTGCCGGCCGCCTCGCTGATGCGTGTTTTAGTTCACGCTCTTGAACTTGGGGGCCACCGACGCGCCGGTCACCTCCGGTCACGCGTGCTGTGGGAGCGGTGTAGAGTTCGGCCCCCGATCGGTCGCCGAGCTTAGCGGACGGGCGGCGTGCGGCGGCGCGTCACGCGTCACGCGTCCACGCCGCTGCACTTCATTCCAGTAGTTTGGTCGATGTCGTGCTTGTTCGTGTCGCGTCTCTCTCCGGCCGCAGTGTGCGTTACGCAGGCGTGTGGTGGGCAATCATTACTGATGGACAGTGGCTGGGCCACCGTTTTTCGTGAACGATACGCCACTGGTGAAGGAAACGAAGAAGCAGCTCTACTAGTGTGTGCAGTTGTATTATGCCACGAACACTCCGCTGAAACATTACATTTGTCGCGTTCTCGGCAAGTACACCGGACTGAAAGCCAAATCATGCCAATGTCGAGCATCGTGCCCTGTCGACTGTCACCTTGTCAGCACACATCCCATTCGGTCATATTCAATATGGGGTGTTATTTGCCCCTGAGCACTCTGTTCAGATTCGATAATTAATGCGGGAGAGCCACCCGGTGATATCGATATATGCTCGAGCCTCGCGACCGCCGAGGGTAACGGTCCGATACTCCCGGGCTAGTCCCAACGAGCTGTCAGGGGATCGCACGGCTTAAAGCGCCATGGCAGGTTTTTTGCACGCGCCATAATGACCCTTTACGCATCTGTGTTCTGTCCCATTGGATGATATCACTAAACATTAGTGGTGCCAGATGAGTATGCTGTACCAGGGGTGAGCAATGTGCTCAGATAGACGAGGTAGATGCGTGGAAAGATCGACGCATTTAAATTCCCCCCCCCCCCCCCAATGCTCTACCCCCAAATCATCTTGCGTTTTGTGCGGATGTTCTTCGGAACGAGAGCACTTCTAAGAAACCTTTGGAGACCCTGACCCGACCACATGGAACAGAAATGTTGGTTTGCCGAACAGTTGCCTTTGACATGCACGGTTGCGTGCACTCAGCTGGTTGGGGACGTCCGCAGTAGTAGCTGGGTCCCGCACCGCGGAGGGTGTTACGGCTAGTGTGCTGACGGTTGGGGCGGTGGTATGCTGCGGTGGCAGCCCTGACAGCCGAGTGGGCGATCCTCGCCCCGATATTCTCTACTTCCGGGACCTGGTCGTGAAGGGAAGATTGAGGTGCCATGGCACGTCGCGAGGCCAGCAGACTGCTGAGAACAAACATATCGGTGTATTTTAACCCTCCCAACGACATAAACTCTGATAACGTGGGTGTCGCCAACAGCAACCAGCTCGCCTGAGAACGCTAGCCCCTAACAACAGGTCCAAAACACCGGCGCCAAAACGGCGCGATCGCCGAGGGCCGGGCGCCGACGGCGGAGCTCGTTCCACCACGCTGAATGTCACACTACCACACCTGAATCCCACATCACACCAAAGGCGGGAAGGCGCGCACCCACACGCAAACGCCACGGAACAATCTCACACCCAAGGAATGATGGCGACCTAGTTATCACAGGTTGCTGGCGGCGCCACGCCGCCGCCTTTGTCTCCGAGCCGCGCCGGTATCCCGTCGCCTTCGTCGCAAGCTCCAGCCGGCCAGCGTTGTCGCGAAAGCGGCGCTCGCTGGTGTTGAGATCCCGAGCCGAGCGCTCGCCGCCTCCCCTGAGCCGCGGCGCTCGAGCCCTGGCTCTCCGCCGTTCGCGGAGACAGATACCCCTCCGCCGGTGACGTCAGAGCGACTCGTGACGTCACGACCCGCCGGCGCTTCGCGTCGCTATCGGTTCTCGAAGAGCACGTCCTCGTCGTCGTCGTCGTCGTCGTGTTCGCCGAGCAGCGGCAGCTCGGTGCCAAGGTGGCGCGGCCGGACGTCGACCGGCCGGGCGGTGGCCAGGTGGCGCGCCTTGATGCCGGCGTGCAGCGCGATCCCGCCCACGCACGTGACCAGGCCGACCGCCTTCAGGCCGCTCAGCTCGTCGCCGTTCACCAGGATGGCCAGCAGCAGGGTACACACCTCCTGTGGCGGCCCGCGGACTGTCACACGCCAGCCTGCAACTCGGAGGACAGCCAGCGGCGGGGCGCGCACCTCGTGTGGCGGCACGCGGAGAGCAGACCGCGGAACCCACCGCAGACAGACACGCGAGATTGGGCGGGGCGGCTTATTGCCACAGTGGTGGCAGGAGGTGGCGCGAATGTTATTAAAACATTAAACACGATATAAAAGAAGCTGATAGTGTTATGATGGTTCTTGTTTGCATCTTTGACACCGGGACCGGGTCGAGCGTATTCAAGGGGATACTGGTGTCTGTTGAGCTATCGGCTTCAGACATAAAGCTTTATTACCCTACTACCCAAATGTAGGCTTCATCAGCAATGCAGTATCTGTTTTTAACTGCGCTGACGTAAACAACTACGAAAGCTGCATGGATCATTACGAGTGACCATCCGTTTATTCTCCACTAACGTATCTGATATCACTGACCGGCCGTATGAGAGGCAGATATTGGTCTGAGCCGTCTTATGGGCCGTCTAAGATGATTGCCGCTCTGACCAAAACGTGTTCTTTTAGGAAAACGCATAAGAGTACGTTAAATTTCATGTCTGTTTACCAGTTCCAGTTCCAACTCCAGTTCCACATGTTTCTAAGTGACGAGACGCACAGCCCCCGTCGCGTCACCAACCCGAGCTTCCAACGCTCCCATCGCGTAGTCAGCATCGCATAGAGCGAATGAGTGCGCCGTCTCCAGCACCACGCCCGCGCAGCACACCTCTGCAGAGGTCGGCGGAGGTGACGTACCTTGAACACGCTGGCCACGCAGAGCGTGACGCTGGAGGTGACACGCAGCGCCAGGAACTCGGAGAGGTCCATCATGAAGGCCAGCACGCAGCCGAGCAGCACGCGGCCGGCCGAGTCGGCCAGCTGGTGCGGCTCCGAGTAGAGGAACAGGTCGCGCGACGTGGCCACGGCCGCACCTGGCGCCCACGCCGGCCGGGCCCGTCAGAGGGGAGTGACCGCGCTCCGCCTGGAGTCGGGGCCGGGGCCGTGGCAGCAGCGGGCTGGGGCTTGGCAGGGCTGGGGCTGGGGCAGGGTGACAGGGCAGGGCAGGGGAGGACACGGTACGGCCGCAGAGCTTGGAACGCTTCTGGGTGGGGCTGGGTGGTACGAACGGCATCAACACAACAAGGTGCAGATGTTCGTCTGAACCGTAGATTCGTCAACAGCTCAGACGAGTCACACGGTGTCACAGTCTCGTAAAGGCTGCCTATTCGAAGCGGTGATGAAACGTGCAGTGGTCACAAATCGAACATAGCTGCGGAAGAAAACTTCACTGCTCCACCCACAATAACACTACGAACCTGTGTTACTTTAGCCAGTGTGTTCTGACGAGCACACTAATCGCAGTATGTGACGCCTGCAGTCCCGGTATTCAACGCCCATCACATGGCCATACATCCCGACACAAGAGCAAAAACGTGGCGGCCGTGACGCGCCTTCAATGGTACCACGCCTCAATATGTCGGCTGGCTTGGGCTCCACCCGCCGAGTATGTCATCATCGGGAGCACAAGGAACGTGGAAAGGCCGTACTTCAGTAGTGGCCGAGCACTGTTCTACCAGCTAGCTATACGGAGGACGCGGGCGGTCGAAGGGCCCGCAGGAGGCTGGTCACAGGCGCGTGAAAGGAGGCCCGCGCTCGCCAAGATGGCTCACCTTCAAAGAAGACGGCAAACGGCATTAAACTGACGATCATCCACGGCTGAATGTGGTAGATCATGTCGATGGGGTTGGAGAGGCCCAGCTCCTTCTTTTGCATCAGAATCTGTGACAGCGTCCACCGCAGCCCACTGCCGGCACGGGTGTAATGCCAGCCGCGCGCCGCACGGCTCCGCTGTGCGGTGACCTCCGTTGGGAGCAGCCAAGCGCACCAGTGGCGATGTCCGAGCATCGCATAAATAGCGGGGTAGGTAACGGTTATACTCGGCTTTCCACGCCGAGAGAACTGCTTATGGCAGCAGCGGTACAAATTACAAAACAGCATATTTCTAATTGTATCAGTGTCATAAACGCGATAATAAATTCACCATAGTATTCATAACTCGTAAGACATTGTATGGTAAATGATGTTACAGCAGAACCAAAGCGCCACTAACTACAATATTTGGAGGCACAAAATCAATTGTGGCAAACATTAAAATATAGCAGTTTCCAGAAAAGCAAATGAATGAAGCTAGTGACACCATATCTGAACAAGGAGGCGCGCTCCAGGTCATACGCTGGCCAACTGAGACGAACAGTGTACGAAGGGCCACGCATCGCATCACCGAACAAAGGGTGTGGCTGGCAGCTGCGAGGAAGCGGATGTGGATGTGGCCACTCTTCATGACGATGGCACGTAAAGGAGTTTCCTGTTGCTCGGTAAACCCAAACATCATTTTCTGTTGGGATGTGCGGCAGCAACGACCAGCTTTTGGAGCGTGACAGTTTGGGCTGTAGGCGGCCACCAGAAATAGCTGGTTCAGTCGATATGGACGCATTCGTTAGAACGAAGACACAGTCAGGCCAATATCGCGATTAACACGCGCCCGGTTGGTCAGCTGGATACCCTTCTAACACTCCGTTGTTGCATCAAATTGAACGATTCCCTAAAATTGACTTCGCTGAAACCATGGTCTGACTTTGACCTGCCATGGGTCAGCGGCCTTACAAGGTACGTTTAAATTTTTGATGCCCAACGACCCGTTATTCAATTGCCTACAGCTATGCACAATTTGGCGCGGCTACGCCGCGTCGTTTGGAAACCGTTCCGGAAAACCTTCGGAGGGTCACTTTGACCCCCACCCCCACCCGAGCGCGTGTTAACACACACTTATGGCTCTCACTGACATTTTGGAAACGATTCTAATACGAAAGCGCCAAATCACATCCAGCGCCCCACCATTACGTTCCATCTACGCGCCTTATTACAATACACCACTATTCGGAACACTCGCCATCGCCTAACATGGTTTTTCCGCACCGGCTGACACCTGGATGCCCATCGGAAACCATCCCAAAATTTTCAGGGCCAGTTTGTCCCGTCCCCAGCGCAGTAAGCACCGTGTCCGTTACTCGCTCCCTGCAGACCCTACCACTTCACTCGGGAAGCTGCAGATATGAGAGATGCAATGGCAATAGCGGCGCTTCGTTACAGGCCAGTGTGCACGCCACAGGCATAGTCAAGTCCCTCACAGCTCCTGCATATCCTAAGCGGAACGATACCAACTAACTCACTGGCGGTATCAAGTAGTGACCAAGTAATGAAAGGCAGCTCATTCGGTTGAGCGTTGGATGCATATACTGTAACTCACGACGCAGCGACGGTTTCATGCCACTGCATGACAGGAGATCAGATCCTGGCCTATATGCAGAACGAACAGCTCATTCATCTTCTCGTGAATATAATACTGATAGAAGTGGCGTTTAAACCGACCACCGAAGACAGAGAGAGTGTTGGCCGGAGTTTGCCGGCAGCTTAGAGGGATACGACGGATGCAACAAGGCTGCGGCAGGTGGGAGAGGAAGCGGAGGCTCAGGCGGCGGACAGATTGGGAGGGCTAGCGAGGCGCCAAGACGGCGGAGACGGACGGCTGTGGGGCTACGGTCGGAGGACAAAAGGGCTAACGAGGCGCCGAGGCGGCGGAGATGGACGACTGCCGAGCTATGGTCGGAAGACACGAGGGAGGCGCGGTGGAGAGACGAGGAAGGGGTGACCGGGGAGGGGTCGGTAGTAAATGATGAGGATGTCTGGTACTATGGAGCGTGCCGGCTTCTTAGGCTATTTTGTGCTCTTGTTACGTTTCAACTACACGACGAGTTAATGTTCTAATGAGGTGAGCATATCAGGTGGATTCCAACAGCGGTTAAAAACAGTACGTCACGTAGGCCGATCTCTGGATATTCACCTATACGTGAAACCAGGGTGACTGCGTCCAAAGAAATGCTATTCTGTCCAGACTTGCGACGAAAGGACGACCAGTGCCCCAACCTACGTTTAATGGCTTTTGATTTTGTCATGGCTGCTCTCAGACCCGACATCGTCTGCCACTGTGTTGCCACGTAGTTTGATTGACGCCTATAGGTCGCTCGCAGGACCCCGCATGGTACCGCCAGGGAGAAGCAGAGGCCGCCTTCGCAACCCGGTCAGCCAGCTCGTGTCCCCCCCCCCCCCCAATCGGCCGAGCAGGCTGCAAAGCCAGGTTGGTAGTCGATCAGGGCTAGGAAGGGCTCATCAAGAATCATTATCGGGAAGGGCTCCTGATAACAATTGCAGTAATTGACGGCGGGCGACCGGCCAATGGGGGCTGACACATGGCAGGGGCCTGTGGATGGTCTGGCCTTGCGGCGAGCCTCAGCGGAGGCGCGTGCACCCAGGTCAGCTGCTCACCTGCTCAGCGCGGCAGCCAGCGCCATCAGGAAGCCCAGCAGGTGAAATGTGGTCGACTCGTACGTGAAAATCACCAGGCCTCCTGAGATGAGCGTCACTACCAGCGCCATAGACCATTGCTGAAAGCACACCACGTCATAAGCAAACCACGTCACAAGCACACCACGTCACAAGCACACCACGTCACAAGCACGCCACGTCACAAGCACACCACGTGACGGCGACGAATGGAATCACGTACAGCATGCCTATGCAGTGGTCCAGGCAGGGAGGCACAGGGGGACATGGGGAAACAAATTACATCAAAAGGTTTAAACCTGCGCACCCGCCATCTCGGAAGCACGGACAACGACGGCCGGTATGCAGCTTGCGTAAAACCGAACAGCGTTGGCCACTGTATGTAACACCAGGTTGCGGGCGCCGTGCGCGCGAGAACAACCGTCGTAAAAGCAGGCTTACGGAGAGCCTCAAAGTTAGTTCGCGCCGTTCAAAGATAAGTATGTGAGCATTTTTTTTACAGCTCATCCTTAACCTTATATTTTGGACAGGTCAACAGTGACAACAATACGAGAAGTAGATATTCCTCCGCTTCTGTTTCCGTCCCACCATCAGATCCTAGCGCCACTTCGCAGCGCTGTAAAGCCACTCCGGTCGTATCATCAACCTAAAAATGGCACAGTTGAAGTATATGCCCGGACTAGATTATGCAAGTATGATTTTGTCCCCTAAAGCGTTTAAACGTACCCCATTCAGATGTGTCATCACTTTTGTCTGTTGACCCTAGCTTGGTATTAACCGTGGGTGTGACGCCACGTGGCCTGCGAAGACTGCAACGCCTGGCGTCGAGGCCTTTGTTGCTATGATTCGCGAGTGCGCATGTTCTACACTACGCTACGAAATTTACGTCACGGTCGATTCTGACACAATGTTGAACCTTTCCACAGAAGCATGGCTTGGTCATGTTTACACAAATTGCTGACCCACTTGCATCTACTATCTATATTCGCGGGGGCCATAATACTCCTGTATAACTCAGATAAAAATTCTGGCAAAACTTCGGAGCTCTGTTGGTTTAAAAATAGCCCCCGGATAATTGTAAATTGAACAGTACCGGGGATTTATTTTCTGCAGCTGTTTAGCACGTGCCCGGGTGGCATGTTTAATGCCCTCTGTTCGGGTGAGGGTCAATTTGCCTTCCTTGAGATCTCAGAAACTAAGTGAGCTAGAAAGCCAAAACCCACAGGGCGCGTTGGTTGGCCTGTATGTGAACTAGCTTGTATCAAAATTTAAGGTTCCAGGAGCATGACCTCCGGATCAAATAACGTCAAACGAGGGAGAATTCCAGACTGGTGTCCAAGGGTCCCCGAACTTAGGTATTTGCTTTAACAGGTCATCGGTGCCAATTTAAGGTCAGCGACCTTTTTTGACTTTTCGTATGCCGTGGTGACCCAAATCCCACAAGAGTTCTTTGAGTTTGGCATTTGAAGAAGCACCAAAGATTACGCACGGCAGAATGTTCCTAAAAACAAAATGTTGATCCGGGTAATTGTAGGCCAGTGACCTATCCTGACCCTTCAGAAGTCCATGAGGGATGTATACTGCAGTTCCTGTTATCGAAAAATTTGAAATGAGCACCAGAAAATACTCCGTACAGCAAGATCTAGAGCAATAAAACAGGTTAGTTTTGGCCTTGGTCTGATCTTTATACCTGACCCTACGTCAACTAAATGTTTTTATCCAATTATTGTATTGCCTGAGAAACTCTCCCAGATGTATGGCGTCGTCTAACACTCCACTGTTGCATCATATTGAACGATTCCCCAGACATCGTCTTCGCTGAATCCATGACCTGACTTTGACCTGCCGTAGGACAGCGACCTTACAGGTTATATCTAAATGTAAATGTAAATAAATGTTTCGATACCGAGTGATCCAATATTCAGTTGTCTACAGCTACACAGAATTTGGCGCGGCCACGCCGCGCCGTTCGGAAACAATTTCGGAAAACCTCCGTGGGGGTCAAATTGCCCCCTCCCCAACCGAGTGCAAATTAACGCATGATTTCTTCCGTTTATTGGCTATAAATTTAAGACGGAATTGATGTTGCGGTAGCTTTTGGCTTCCATTCCAGTACGAGAAGATAAAAATGAAAAAGCATGCTTCAAAAAGGGCTATATCCGCCAAATTTTTAAAGGGCGTGCCACTATCAGGGGCCCCTTGTCAAACGTATGCCCCCCTAGCCAGGACACTGGCCGCCCTTGTGTCCATGCACTTGCAGACAGGCGCCACTGCCCCCGGCGGATGTGTCACAGGTTTTACTGCATTTGTACAAGTGTTGCCGCCCTGGGTGCGAATACCTGACCCTACGTCCTGTAGCGCGAACGGGAAATAAAAACATTGAGTTGGGGGCGTGACACACCTGCCCCAACTAACCGAGCGCGCTCGTTACAGCGCAGTTTACATGCTGGCGACCACGGAAACAACTAACTGGAGTCCATCAGTACCCCTTCGCATCCTACAGCTTGCAGCACGCACCCAAGGCCCACCGACAGCGCCCGAGGCTCAGACGCTCGCGGCCCGCCAACGCTCCGGAGTGCAGTGTGCTCACCAGCTGCTCGATGCGTAGGAAGAGGGCGCACACGTAAATAAAGATGACGGACGTGGACTTCGTCATGGTGTAGAGCGTCACAGTGATGAACTCAAAGCTCCACTGCGAGAGGCCAATATCCAGCGCGCTCAGCACGCCCGGCGCCGACATCTTGCGCCAGAACTGTCGCCATGAGAGCGTGGTGCGCTGCGTGTTGTAGGTACACTCGAGATAGTTGCGCACGGTGGCCGCCAGGAGAAACTTGACGGTCAGGTGGGCGAGTACGATCGAGAGCGGAAAGCGCAGCTCCTGTCAGAAGAATGGCATGTGCACATCACACTGTTGCAGGTCACACCAGTATGAAGTGTCATACAACACACAGGGTTAATTTTGTAACTTGTTTATCATTTGTAGCATGCAGCCTACAAAAATCATATATTAGTGTCTCAAAACTTGTGCTTTTTGACTGGTTAGTGGCATGAACTTATGCATTTCATGCAGTCACAAGCAAAAATACATGCATACCAACACACTGATCTTGCAACAGTTTTTCTTCCCAATCTGATCCACAACATGCCTAACATTTGAATCAACATTACAGCTGTTGCATTAAAGGGAGTTTGTCCAGTAAAATCCTAAAATCAAACTTTGTGCATACACTTGAAGAAATTTTTGATTTTTAAGACACATTATCAGTTGAAAGGCATTGAGGTGGTCACCCTCAAAAACTACTAGCTTGCAAACAGTGCAGACCTTGTTCATCCGCCACTGAAAACAATAGCATATTTTGACACCAAAAAGACTGTGTTCTACTCTAAAGATTGCAGGAATAATTGTTGCACCATAAATCTCATTCAAGAAGGTAACCCATGTTACTATATTGCTCAAGTTTCAACAGTGACATAACTGTTGTTCAAAGCATATAATATAGTTTGAGTGCAATCTGTAATTGCCTTATTGCACAATTAAGTTGGCATACACTTTGACAAATGATAACACCATATTTTGAGTTAATATTCATGCCTGATCATTAGCCTGAATATCATGTCATGCCAGCAACTGACCTGCAGAAGAGATTTCTGATAAAATGTAAGTGATATGGAGAAAAAGAAATATGTCAGAAGACAACCAATGCTCTTGAATGCATACTTCATAAGTTCAAAATCCATGATGTTCTTCACCATTCATTGTTTGATGTGATCTGAAAACATTTCAAGGCACACATATTTCAGAATTGTCCACAACCAGAACATATCTGTCCTCCTATGCAAAAAAGGCCTTATAACTTAGTTAACATAGCACTTAGGCCCTTTTGCCTTTGGATCACAGATATCATGAGATATCCCATAATTACCAAACATTTCATGATCATAAGGTAGTGGTAAATGGGCACACTGTGCCCACAAGCTCAAAGAATCTAAGTGCATAGTTTAAACTTCTGCATAACCACCTACCAGTAAATTATATCACTCTTTTTATGATTATGAGAAAACAAGGCTGTAATTACCACAGTAACATGACCTAATGCATTAGATCTGATCAAATGGATGGCTATGGTTTGATTGCTGTTCAGTTTTTGACAGCATGTTGCAGACTGCAATAGGCAATCACAGACACAGACAGACTCAGACAAATGCAGACATGCACAGACACATGCTTGGTACATTGACTTACTAAGTTGTCTGTCAAACCATTACAAACTTCGGTAAACATGATTGAGACAAGAAAAGGACAGTTGCCACAGCTCATAGACTACAGTTCACCAAGGAAACCTGATGCAGTAAACATGGAGAAATGGAGGAAGTTTATACTTCTTTGGATACCATTTATCTCAAATCTGGCATGCTTACTTTTCTCTACTATCACATTGGGCAGGAAATCCTATTTTAACTCAGGGGATCTTTTATCTCAAATGTAAGATATAAATCCAGCAACTTGAACGTGGATAGCAAGGTATTATCATCAGATACCATAAGCTCCATTGTAAGCATGTATAGAAATTAGCAACAAACTGTGTACCTGGGAAATGCACCACAAAAGTGCCCATGCCCTTGATTGGGACAGCCTGTGATCTATGGCAACATCCACACTCATGGTTACATCCAAGAGGGAAGGGAAGACCATGGAAAGCATTGTGTTGGTTTGATTTTTTCACCATTTTTTCTGTGGACCTGGAAATGAACGTTAAGATGGTGGGGATCAGGACTCTCACAGCAAACACTGCTTAGCATGGACTTTGCTCCCAGAAATTCACCAATTCAAAAAAGATGGAATTAGTATTTTTAAGCGTGTGTGTACTCAAGGAAAGCTAGTCTATTTTGTTGCGGACAGCAGAAAGTCACTGCAGCTAATGTGCTTATCGTGACACACTTTCACCGTATTTCCAGGTCCCCTCCTCGTTCCAAGCACCACCAGGTCCTCACTGATCTCGGCGACTGACAACAGGGCAGATTAAATGCATCAAGTGCGTCATTTACGCTCTTGTTTTGAGAAACACTTGATTCGTATAACGCTACTAAATAGAAGAAGACGTTTCTCAAGCTGGCACCAATTCATGGCTTGGGGCGCAGCGCGACGGCCGTAGGTCAGTTTTTGGCTAGCCTGTTCGGGAGTGCTGCGGCTGAATAGACGGTCGAGCGACGGCAAGGCTTTTCTCCTGAAAGCGAAGCCAAAGTCATAAATGCAACCCACGCTAACATTCTAGGGGGTCGTCCTGGATATGCTGGGTGAAGTTTGCTGTTATTCAACAAGACGTATTTTTGTTGATACCATCTGGAGTGTAGGCTGCATCGTCGGAACAAGCTTCGCAGTGGCCACTGACGTGATTGTCTGCCTGCATCCTCGGCGTGGGTCAGCCCGCGTCATCGACGTCTGTCTGCTTGCGTCATCGACGTCTGTCTGAGTCGCCAACGTTTGTCTGCCGTAGAGCAACCAGGGGGCACAGGGGGAACGTACCCCTCCCCCTGAGGTTCCGAGGGGACCTTCGGGCCCCTCGGAACCTACAATTAATGGCCCGATTTGAGGGCCCGAAAGACTGGAGAGGCTGGCCGGAGGTCCCATTGCGGGGGCTTCGGCCCGCAGGGCTGGGCACTCCAATGTCAGCCAGAGGGCCTTGAGTGCTGATCATGGGCCCACTGAGTCAATAATGGCCTATGTTTCGGTCAGACACCACCACTAACGCCCAGCCGGCTCCGTGGCGGAATAGGCCTAAGGGCACATTTCCTAAGCACGGACAAAGCAGGAGTCAGCGATTGACATTGCTCGAGGCCCCACAGCACCTAGCAGGGTCCCCGGTGTCGTCAAAGGACCCAGAGTTGGCTAGAGGCAGTGTTCGAGGAGGTCCGAAAAGCCTGGAGGGCCCACTCGTTCCTACAATCAAGGGCGCGATTGTAGGAATGGCATAAAGGGCTGGTCGGAGTCTTATTTAGAGGCTCCGGTCTGCAAAGGCTGACAGTCAAATACCGGTCAGGGGACCCTTTGCGCTCATCGGAGAGCCCCTGAGTCAACACAGGCTTATATGCCGGTCAGCTACCACCAGTACCACACAGTTGGTTCCGTGACGGTATAGGTTCTGAGGGCTCACTTCCCAAGCAGTTAAAAGTCGCGGCCAGATATTTACACTTGCCAGGGGCCTTGTATCTGCCAGGGGCCCACGGCGCCTAACAGAGGGTCCTGTGCCCGCGCAAGCCCCGAGCTGACCAGGGGAAGTATTCGATGAGACCTGAAAAGGGGCCCGACGGCACCCCGGAACCGATGATCAAAGGCCCGGCCGGAGGGCATAAGGGCCCAAAGGCCTGGCTGTGGGTCACATAAAAATCGCGGCCGTAGGGTGATAACCTGACATATCAGTCAGAGGTCCTCTTGCACCGGTTCAGAGATCACTGAAACAATGCGGATGTCTTAGTTGGTCAGAGACCACGAACACCGACAAGTCGGCTTCATGTTCTTCCGAGCCCTTGAGCCCCATTTCCCAGGCAGAAACGAGGCCGGGGTTTGCGATTTGCAATGTTCGGAGTGTCTCGCACGGGTCCTGTGGCGGCAAGTGGCCCCGAGTCGAAGCGGTGGTTGAGGGGGCCCGAAAAGGGAACCAAAGGGTCTCTCGAGACCAAAGATCAAGAGCTCAATGGGAAAGCTAAGGGGTCCGAAGGGCTGTCTGTAGGTCACATTAAGAGGGCCATATTCTCAAATGTCAATAAAATGATCTCTTACACCGATAGGGACTCGTGAGACTGACTGCTCCTCTATTTCGGCCAGAGATCACGAACAACGAACAGCCAGCTCCATGTTGGTCTGAGCTCTGTAGGTCCATTTCCCAAGGAGGGACAAGGGCAGGCCCACGATTTACATTGGCCGGGCTCCTGTATGGTTCAGGGGCTTGCAGTTCCGAACAGGGCATTCTGTGTCAACAAGGGGCCTCGAATCGGTCAGTCCGAACTGCGCAGTACGGCAAAACATCTTGACCAGCCAGGTGCTCGCCATGTAAGACCCGTCCCTGCCGACCCGAGTCACTACCGACGCCAGTGACGTCGGGCTTGGCGCAGCGCTGTCCCAGCCGCATCCGGAGGGGAAGAGGGGTGGTGAGCTTCGCCTCCTCCAGTCTCAACCCAGCACAGCGACAGTACAGTGTGACGGAGCGGGAGGTACTCGCGTGCGTCCTGAGTGGTGGAGAAGTGGAGAGAAAATACTTGTGGAGACGGTCTTTCTGCCGCCGAGTGGATCATGCTGCGCTCTGCACCCTGATGACGTCACCAGGTGTGGGTCGAGCCGGCCTATGGATCACCAGCTGGGCGTCACGTCTCATGGCGAGCCACTTCACGGTCGAGCACGTCCAGGGATCGGAGAACCCAGCGAATGACCTATCAAAACTTCCAGGCCGGACTGAGGACGCTCAAAGAAGACGACGTCGTGGCGGTGGCAGCGGTGACGTCGTGGCGGCCCAGCCCCAGGCCATGCAGCGGGACGAGCTGGCCAGGGTAACGCGGGAGGACCCGGTGCCACGCCAGCTCATGGAGCATATTCCGGGGCGGTGGCCGCGGCGATGCAGAGACTGTCCAGAGGAGCTCCAACCGTTTCTAACCGTTGTCGAGATGAGCTCAGCTGGTGGGGCGACCTGTGCTACCACCTGCGACCTGGTGGGCGACCTGGTGCTACGGGTGGTCGTCAGCAGGCGGTCGTCTCGGCGAGACTGCGGCTCCAGACGGTGGAACTGGCTCACGAGGGCCACCAGGGGATTGTAAGATCCAACAGCGAGCCAGAGAAGTCTATGGGTGGCCGAGAATGGACACCGCGGTGAAGGCTACCGTCAGAGCTTGTGACGTTTGCTCAGCGCTAGACAAGACAGCCAGGATACGCAGCGCGCCGATGCAGTCCGTACCTTTGCCACGGGGCGTCACGGGACAAGGTCAGGGTGGGACCACGCCGGTCCTATGAAGGCACCCAAGAACCAACGGTTCGCGACAGTTTTGGTGAACTACTACTCCAAGTGGATCAAGGTGGGGTTTTGTGCAGAGGCGAAGCTCAGAAGCCCCTATCCAGTTCGTGGAGGTGATTGCTCCGCGAGAAGGCTACCCGAAAGAGTTTGTCTCCGACAACGGGACGCACTTCACGTCCGGAGCCTTCACTGAGTACCTACAGAATGTAGGGACTCGTCAGATTCGTGTGACTCCGTACCACCGGGCGGGGTCGGGTGCAGGGGAGCGGGCCAACCGCACTGTGAAGTCAGCACTGCAGGCAGCGGACCAGAGTGGCGAGGACCGCGTCCGGTACCGGCAGAAGTTTCCCACAGCAGTACCGGAGCACCCCACTACCGGAGGGCCATCCCATCTGAGCTGCTGCACGGCAGACGGCTGAGGACCAAGCTACACGCGGCGGCCACTGCGTCGCCCTCACAGTAAGACGAAGATGCAAGCAAGTAGTACAAAGACGAGTGTTTACGATAATTTCGACCTAAGCCATCGCCAGCCTTATTCCCCGAGACCACAGGCGTGTCATTGGGGGCTTTTATGACGCAACTCAGCTACATGGCGTCGCCAGCCTCTCAACCTGGTGGGAAGGGCGGGGACCCGCGGGGAATCGAACCCCATGCGTATGGTTTCCCAGACGCGCAGTGGTTGACGCAGGCGGCGTTAACCACTGCACTATCGTCATCCGGCGCGCAGGCTCAAACGCTTTGGAGACTATTTGTTCCACTAGTCAATTCTGCAAATAATGAACGTTTCGGGGGAAACATGGGATGAACTTGTGTTTTTTTAAACTCAATTTGAAACCACTCCATTCAACACTAATGAAGCATCTTATTTCTGTCCGGTAAAGAGGCCCTATTGAGTACAGCACTATCGGACACGTTGCTCACGGTCAAGTGTTGAAGGGCCATCCCGTCCCACCGCGGTGCGCTTTCCGGTCGTCACTCTGGCGGCTCGGGGTGGCAGCCCTAACCGATCCGGAGGCCCTTAGAGGGATACATGGCATCACATTGGTCTGCTTCCTGTCGCGAAAGGCCTTCTGACCCGCGCAGTTGCCCCGGATCGACATATGGACCGTCATCAATACAACAACATTCCTGCTCGCCTCAGGTGGTTAAATATTGGGACATAGACTCCGTTTGGGATTAACGGGCCTATGGTGTGGAATAACAGTTGGAGGGCCCACCTTTCGGTGCTGAGGAACCTGGCTGGCGCCGAACTTTTTATGACTTCAGTGTGAGCAAACATCATAAGCTCTGGTCTCCTTCAATTGCCAGAGAGCCCCGACCAACACAAGAAACGCTCCTTCATTGGGGCTGCCGTCCCCGTCCCTGTTGAGCAAGTGTTTCCTGCAAAGTTCCCTTCGCTAACACAGGTTTTATTACTTTATACGTAAATGAAAACAATTACCTGCAATAATGTCAGCCCAGAAGCTCAGCGCACAGCCCGCAACAGCCACACAGTCACTCGCGCCGAACCATACAGGACACCAA